AGGAGGGTTTCCACGGGAGTTTCCACAGCAGTCTCTTTCTTCTTCATCGTTTCTGGCTTTCCATTCGTCTTCTTGATCGTCAACTTCGTCGTCCCCTGCTGTCCAGCCACTGACCACGATCCCTTCTTGACCTGAGGACTCGAAACAGGAGGACTACTACGAAATCCTCTTGTTTTCCTCGGTCAATCGCCGTATCTCCATCTTCGCTGCCTTCAATTTCTTCCTTAAGTTGCTGGTAAAGTTGCTCGATGGAGGGCATCTTGGTTCAGTCCACGGGAGCAAACAAGACACTTCTTCACAGAGTTAAGTACAGGTCAGCTAGTTTCTTAGTGTGAGTTAAGGCCAGCTGGTGTCTTAGTTTGAGTTAAGACCAGCTAGTGTCTTTGTGTGAGTAAAGATAAGCTAGTGTCTTAGTGTGAGTTAAGACCAGCTAGTGTCTTGGGTTGAGTTAAGACCAACTAGTGTCTTAGTGTGAGATAAGACCAGCTGGTGTCTTAGTGTGAGTTAAGACTAGGTAGTGTATTAGTGTGAGTTAAGATCAGCTAGTGTCTTAGTGTGAGTTAAGACCAGCTAATGTCTAAGTGTGAGTTAAGACCAGCTAATGTCTTAGTGTGAGTTAATGCCAGCTGGTGTCTTAGTTTGAGTTAAGACCAGCTAGTGTCTTTGTGTGTGTAAAGATAAGCTAGTGTCTTAGTGTGAGTTAAGACCAGCTAGTGTCTTAGTGTGAGTTAAGACCAGCTAGTGTCTTAGTGTGAGTTAAGACCAGCTAGAGTCTTAGTGTGAGTTAAGACCAGCCAATGTCTTAGTGTGAGTTAAGACCAGCTAGTGTCTTGGTTTGAGTTAAGACCAGCTAGTGTCTTAGTGTGAGTTAAGGCCAACTGGTGTCTTAGTTTGAGATAAGACCAGCTAGAGTCTTTGTGTGAGTAAAGATAAGCTAGTGTCTTAGTGTGAGTTAAGACCAGCTAGTGTCTTAGTGTGAGTTAAGACCAGCTAGTGTCTTAGTGTGAGTTAAGACCAGCTAGAGTCTTAGTGTGAGTTAAGACCAGCTAGTGTCTTAGTGTGAGGTAAGACCAGCTAGTGTCTTAGTGTGAGTTAAGACCAGCTAGTGTCTTAATGTGAGTTAAGACCAGCTAATGTCTTAGTGTGAGATAAGACCAGCTGGTGTCTTAGTGTGAGTTAAGACCAGTTGGTGTCTTAGTGTGAGTTAAGATCAGCTAGTGTCTTAGTGTGATTTAAGACCAGCTTGTGTCTTAGTGTGAGTTAAGATCAGCTAGTGACTTAGTGTGAGGTAAGACCAGCTAGTGTCTTAGTGTGAGTTAAGACCAGCTAGTGTCTTAGTGTGAGTTAAGACCAGCTAGTGTCTTAGTGTGAGTTAAGACCAGCTAGTGTCTTAGTGTGAGTTAAGACCAGCTAGTGTCTTAATGTGAGTTAAGACCAGCTAATGCCTTAGTGTGAGTTAAGACCAGCTAGTGTCTTAATGTGAGTTAAGACCAGCTAATGTCTTAGTGTGAGTTAAGACCAGCTAGTGTCTTAGTGTGAGTTAAGACCAGCTAGTGTCTTAGTGTGAGTTAAGACCAGCTAGTGTCTTATTGTGAGTTAAGGCCAGCTGGTGTCGTAGCGTGAGTTAACACCAGCTGTTGTCTTAGTGTGAGTTAAGACCAGCTAGTGTCTTAGTGTGAGTTAAGACCAGCTAGTGTCTTAGTGTGAGATAAGACCAGCTATAGTCTTAGAGTGAGTTAAGACCAGCTAGTGTCTTAATGTGAGTTAAGACCAGCTAATGCCTTTGTGTGAGTTAAGACCAGCTAGTGTCTTAGTCTTAGTTAAGACCAGCTAGTGTCTTAGTGTGAGTTAAGACTAGCTAGTGTCTTAGTGTGAGTTAAGACCAGCTAGTGTCTTATTGTGAGTTAAGGCCAGCTGGTGTCGTAGCGTGAGTTAACACCAGCTGTTGTCTTAGTGTGAGTTAAGACCAGCTAGTGTCTTAGTGTGAGTTAAGACCAGCTAGTGTCTTAGTGTGAGATAAGACCAGCTAGTGTCTTAGTGTGAGTTAAGGCCAGCTGGTGTCTTAGTTTGATTTAAGACCAGCTAGTGTCTTTGTGTGAGTAAAGATCAGCTAGTGTCTTAGTGTGAGTTAAGACCAGCTAGTGTCTTAGTGTGAGTTAAGACCAGCTAGTGTCTTAGTGTGAGTTAAGACCAGCTAGTGTCTTGGGTTGAGTTAAGACCAACTAGTGTCTTAGTGTGAGATAAGACCAGCTGGTGTCTTAGTGTGAGTTAAGACCAGCTAGTGTATTAGTGTGAGTTAAAACCAGCTAGTGTCTTAGTGTGAGTTAAGGCCAGCTGGTGTATTAGTGTGAGTTAAAACCAGCTAGTGTCTTAGTGTGAGTTAAGACCAGCTAGTGTATTAGTGTGAGTTAAGACCAGCTAGTGTCTTAGTGTGAGTTAAGACCAGCTAGTGTCTTTGTGTGAGTAAAGATAAGCTAGTGTCTTAGTGTGAGTTAAGACCAGCTAGTGTCTTAGTGTGAGTTAAGACCAGCTAGTGTCTTAGTGTGAGTTAAGACCTGCTAGAGTCTTAGTGTGAGTTAAGACCAGCCAATGTCTTAGTGTGAGTTAAGACCAGCTAGTGTCTTGGTTTGAGTTAAGACCAGCTAGAGTGTTAGTGTGAGTTAAGGCCAACTGGTGTCTTAGTTTGAGTTAAGACCAGCTAGTGTCTTTGTGTGAGTAAAGATAAGCTAGTGTCTTAGTGTGAGTTAAGACCAGCTACTGTCTTAGTGTGAGTTAAGACCAGCTAGTGTCTTAGTGTGAGTTAAGACCAGCCAATGTCTTAGTGTGAGTTAAGACCAGCTAGTGTATTAGTGTGAGTTAAGACCAGCTAATGTCTTAGTGTGAGTTAAGATCAGCTAATGTCTTAGTATGAGTTAAGACCAGCTAGTGTCTTAGTGTGAGTTAAGGCCAGCTGGTGCCTTAGTGTGAGTTAAGACCAGCTAGTGTCTTTGTGTGAGTAAAGATCAGCTAGTGTCTTAATGTGAGTTAAGACCAGCTAGTGTCTAAGTGTGAGTTATGACCAGCTAGTGTTTTAGTGTGAGTTAAGACCGGCTAGAGTCTTAGTGTGAGTTAAGACCAGCCAATGTCTTAGTGTGAGCTAAGACCAGCTAGTGTCTTGGTTTGAGTTAAGACCAGCTAGTGTCTTAGTGTGAGTTAAGGCCAACTGGTGTCGTAGTTTGAGTTAAGACCAGCTAGTGTCTTTGTGTGAGTAAAGATAAGCTAGTGTGTTAGTGTGAGTTAAGACCAGCTAGTGTATTAGTGTGAGTTAAGACCAGCTAGTGTCTTAGTGTGAGTTAAGACCAGCTAGTGTCTTAGTGTGAGTTAAGACCAGCTAGTGTCTTAGTGTGAGTTAAGGCCAGCTGGTGTCTTATTGTGAGTTAAGACCAGCTAGTGTCTTTGTGTGAGTAAAGATCAGCTAGTGTCTTAATGTGAGTTAAGACCAGCTAGTGTCTTAGTGTGAGTTAAGACCAGCTTGAGTCTTAGTGTGAGTTAAGACCAGCTAATGTCTTAGTGTGAGTTAAGACCAGCTAGTGTCTTGGTGTGAGTTAAGACCAGCTAGTGTCTTAGTGTGAGTTAAGACCAGCTAATGTCTTAGTGTGAGTTAAGACCAGCTAGTGTCTTGGTGTGAGTTAAGACCAGCTAGTGTCTTAGCATGAGTTAAGACCAGCTAGTGTCTTAGTATGAGTTAAGACCAGCTAGTGTCTTAGTGTGAGCTAAGACCAGCTAGTGTCTTAGTTTGAGTTAAGACCAGCTATTGTCTTAGTGTGAGTTAAGACCAGCTATTATCTTAGTGTGAGTTAAGACCAGCTAGTGTCTTAGTTTGAGTTCAGACCAGCTAGTGTCTTAGTGTGGGTTAAGACCAGCTCTTGTCTTAGTGTGAGTTAAGACCAGCTAGTGTCTTAGTGTGAGTAAAGACCAGCTAGTGTCTTAGTGTGAGTTAACACCAGCTAATGTGTTAGTGTGAGGTAAGAGCAGCTGGTGTCTTAGTGTGAGTTAACACCATCTATAGTTTTAGAGTGAGTTAAGACCAGCTAGTGTCTTAATGTGAGTTAAGACCAGCTATTGTCTTAATGTGAGATAAGACCAGCTGGTGTCTTAGTGTGGGTTAAGACCAGTTGGTGTCTTAGTGTGAGTTAAGACCAGCTAGTGTCTAAGTGTGAGTTAAGACCAGCTAGTGTCTTAATGTGAGTTAAGACCAGCTAGTGTCTTAGTGTGAGTTAATACTAGCTAGTGTCTTAGTGTGATTTAAGACCAGCTAGTGTCTTAGTGTGAGTTAAGACCAGCTAGTGTCTTAGTGTGAGTTAAGACCGGTTTGTGTCTTAGTGTGAGTTAATTAATGCCAAACAGACAAAATGTCAAACAGCAATCATGCAATATAATCTTTTATAGTACCCAAAAAAAATAGTGAAGATGCCTAGACATGTTTTGGGACAATTTTTGCATTTTACACCCATGGTATACAAAAATGGTAAGGATTTTTATCAAAAGGTACATGTAATGTTATAGAACAATGTTCCGTGAATAAATCCTGTAAAATTGATAAAGATCGGTTCAATAATAAAGGGAGGAAATCAATATAATTGCAGAAAATGGACTTTTCAGAAAAATGGAATAATACATTGAGGCTTAGCTTATGGTGGGTAAAAATATTCCATGTGCCTTCTTATGTTTATTAGGAGTAGAAGTGAGCATATATAACATATTTCTGAAGTTCCATGCAGATCCCTCCATCCTGAAGTCCTTGGCAGATTGGCCAATCATGAAGGTCCATACACAATCAAACTGGAAAGAAGGAAATACACACTAAACATCATATTGCCAATGATTATGTACAAAAGATGTGTAAATATACATATATACAATAATGATAAACATACACATACAATTAAACAACAAATTCACATGAATTATTTACCTTTGACGAAGAGTAGGCAGGACATGGATCATCTAATGGCTCCAGCCTCATAGGAGGTGTCCACCACCGCCTTCCTCTTCTTGCTTCTTGGAGCTTTGAGTCTCTGCATTATTCTGTCCATATCCTTTAGGCGTTTTTGGTTCAATAAGGAACGCCCATATCCAAGTTGTATGTCCAAACAACTTCTTTCGTATCCTACATTGTACTCGGCTATGGCGTGGCTGACAGCGAAATCAACTTGCCACTTATTTCTATACAGGGCTTTGTTGCAATACGACCATATTCTTTGGTGAAGGCTTTCGTTTGGGTTTTGTGTTCGTCCCTGTATGCATCGTTCCATCATGTCATCTCGGGTGAGGTCCTTGTAGATTTCATGCACCTTGTTGAAGTCGTCGGGTTGTAGGTGAAACTTCACTTTCATGGTTGAGTGGGATGGTGGTGGTAGGTTGTCTGCCAGTGCCCTCTGGTAAAAGCACCATGAAGCAGAACCAGGTGGACAAAGGTGATGCTCTGGGTTGTCGTCAGTAGAGGAACAGTGAAAGAAGCTTGCAAGTATTCCATTCCTCATAGTTTCAACATCAGTTCCACGACTGTCCCTTAGGTTCTTCTGAAAATACTGAGCAAGCTTGTCAATCATGAAATCTGTCAACATTCCTTTCCCCTTCACATGATACTCCTTTCTCTTTTTTCCGGCTCTAAGTTGTTTTTCAGTGTAGTGCAATTTTACCAAGCTTGTCAACCTATTTTTCAGCCGCTTTGCATAATGGTTGATGCACTCTTCTTTTGTAACTTGTAAACCTTGGTATGGACCAGCACCATCATTGAGTTCAGTAATTCCTTTGTAGGTTGCACTATCACCATCAGACACTATGGTCTTGTACCTCAACTTCTGCTTCAGTGATCTTTGCCAAATGATGAGTGCAGCTTCTACCTCCATTTTTCCTGAGGAGCCGGAATAGTTTTTGTTGCATTTCCTTTCATGTTTTTCTTTAAAATTTTCATACATTTCCACAGTAATTTTCTTCTTTTTCAAACGACTTTCCATATTGGCACACAAGAAACAGTATTTACACAACACTTGATAGTCAACTACAAGCTTTGTCACGGCATCAATAGCCACACCAATGCCAAAATTAGAATGATGGCCCCTAGTATGCCAGGTGCCATCATACGTCACATCAATATCAACAACTCCACGTGCGTCTGGCAAAGTGTCTTGTTTGGCATATTCCTTACGCACGATTGCCCTTGTTTCTGCTAGAATTCTGTTGCATGACTGAATGGATACCCTGGTAATCATGCTTGTGTACCTGCTAAATGTTTCGTGAGTTATAACAGGTAGGTTACACAAGGCATTTCTACGAATAAATGATTTGTAACCTCCACCAGTCACCATTTCAGCATACACCATTCGACCTGTCAAAACATTCAGTGCTTACAAACCCACGTGGCTTTTTCACTAAAACACCCTTACACTCGGTACACGACATAGCAACAACAGTTTCTAAGTGATGTTATGATATGTAACTTCCACCTTATTCGATAAACACTCGGAACAGCGAACAAATGACATAAGTTCATCAAACCTATCATCTTCCATACTTATCATTTTCTTCTTAACAACAACTGGTGTTATCTTATCATACATTGAAAACTCGTCTTTTGGCACTTGATACACAAACACTGTCACTGGCACTGCGTCAGCAGCTGTCGACGTGCTGGCGACAGCTGAGCTAGGCCAACTGGGGTAGCCACATGTGGGGTGGCCACATCTGCAGTGGCCACATGTGGGGCAGCCACATCTGCAGTGGCCACGTGTGGGGTTTGGCCACATCTGCAGTGGCCAATGGGGGGGTGGCCACAGGGGTTACACTCATACATGGTGAGGTCGTCACATATGTAACTGTGGGTGTGGTGGGACGACGATGTATATATAGGCGTAGGGTTGATCAATGTGGCCACAGTGGTGTGGTGGTTTGGCCACAGATACGTCACTTCGTTTCCGCTTCCTCGGTGTTGTAGGTTTGCGGCTTGAAGTGGCCCCATTTGGTGTGGCCCGGAAAGTGGTGGCCCCCCAAACTGGAGTGGCCCCGGACGTGGTGGCCCCCATCTGGAGTGGCCGGCGGGTGGCCCCCATTGGAGTGGCCCCGGCGGGGGCCACAAACTGGGTGGCCCCCGGAAGTGGTGGGGCCAAATCTGGGAAGGGCCCCGGAAATTTTGGGGCCCCCACTTTCCTTTTTCCCCTTGGTTTTTTTAGCACATGCCTTTAATGGAGGAAATTTTTCATTAGTTTTTACCGGGTTTAACTAAATTCTTCATTTTCTGAGGGGACGGGGGGTTTGTAAAGGTGTCGTTTGGGGTAATTTTTGCTGCCTTTTCCCCCTGCTTGTTTTTGCTGTTTTTTTTCATTCGCAGTCTTTGGAAACCCCAAAAATCCAGTTCCCTTTTTTTATGTTTTAATGAGTGAATGTCTTCTTACGCGGCATTTTTGGTTTTCAAAAAATGGTATAGAATTGGCGGCGAAATTTCCCGTCCCAAGGGAAGGGCCCCGCCGGGCAATCAAAGGAGCAAAAAATTTCTTCTTTCTGACCCTTTGGTTTGGGACTGAGGGTTTTGGTTTTGGAGAGCAGAAACTCCTTGAACAGCCACCCTGAAAAGTTTTTCCAAAGGGGTAATTTGAAAATTTTTTTCCCCAAAAAATTAAAAAAAAAATTTCGGAAAAAAAAAAAATAAAAAAGACAAGAAAATTTTCAATAAACGTATACAGGTATGGTGGGGTCACCCATTAAAGAGTAATTTCCCCCGTTACTTTTATTACGGGTAACTTTTTAACCTTAAATTTTGTTTCCCGAGACGAGAATTTCACCAAAAATTTTCCCGAAATTTTTGAGCTATTTTTCCCGTAAGTTTAACTCATTTTTTTTTTTTTTTTTGATTTTTTCGTCTAATTTTCCTGGGTCGATGCTGCCAAAGGCCCCCTTTTTAATTAATTAAGGGGGAATTAGATCACTTTGCGCCGAAAACCCAAAAAAATTTTTTTTAAAAAAATTTAAAACTGAGTTAATTTTTTATAGAAAAAAAGCTTAATCTTTGGCAAAAACAATGGGACCAGGGGAAACAAAAGGGTTTTTACGACATTTCAATAGGAATTTAGTCATTTAAATACACCCTAGGGGGTGACGTCACCCCCCCGCGGCAGGTTTTTGCCCCCTGGTTTGTCCCAATTTTTTTTTTTTTTCCGTTTTTTTTTTTGTGTATTTCTTTTTATTCTTTTTTAAGATAAAAAATTGAACGATTTGGTATCATAATACAGTGGGCGGGACTTTTTGTTGAGGTTCCAACCAAACCCGGAAAACCCCCCGACACCATTTTGCCGACGTCATGGAAAAAATTTCCCGTCTCGGGGTGGGCCGGGGGAAAATGGCTCAATTTTAACGCTATTAAAAGCTTTAGGCTTTTTTATCTAAAACAATGGTTTTAATATTTACATTTTAAAAAACAATATAAATAAAAAAAAGAAGTATGGGGGAAAAAATCCCGAATGGGAAAAATATATGGCAATTCCCAGAGCGCTCCCTCGGGAATAATTTGTTCCCTTTTCAGAGAGGGGGGCTTCCTTTTCTTTCTTCTCACCCCCAGGGGGCCTTATATTAGAGAAAACGAACATGGTTAAAAATATGATATACCCCTCGTAATGCAGTTTAAAAAACTGAGAAAAAGTTATTTTCCGAAAAAAAAAAAAAAAAAAAGGTTTGGGCCCGGGGGGTTTTTGGGATTAACTCGGAAAATAAAGGTTTTTTCACTATATGAGCATTTTAAAATTCGTTTAATTTAAAAGCAAGGGTTAAAGAAAATTCACAAATGGGAAAATAAAGGGGAAAAATTGGGTTTTAAAAAGCTAGTGGATTTGCTTTTTTAGATATCATAATTTTTTTTTTGATTTATGTGAGGGCAAAAGGCAGATATTTTTGGGTGAAAGTCAAAAAAAACATACAAAAAATTTTTTTTTTTTAAAAATGAAAAAGGATAAATTAAAAGAAAAAAACTAACCAAATTGAGATACAAATTTAGCATTTTTTTATGGTAGAGGTAATGCCCAAAACAAAATTCTCCAAATCCCCCTTCGACGGTACCCGGGAATATGATGATTAATTTGGGAAATAATTTTTTTTTCCGTTGTTTTTTGAAACTTTTCTTATTGGAAAATTGGTCACATTTTCTATTTAAAGGTGCTTCTTTAAAAGTTCAAAAAAAAAAATGAAAGGGAAACGAACGAAAAAAAAAAAGGGTTTATTTTTGTTTAAACCTTTATATTTTCCCCCCCCTTTACCCCCCCCCAATCCCCAAAAAAGAAAATGCAAGCACCCTCCTTTGAATTTTTCTCACAAAAATCTCGTACCTCTAAGGGAAATTTTCCCCTGGCCCCCACCCCCATTCCTTGCCCCATGGCCCAAATGAAATTTACCCCCCACCCCCCTTGATGTAAAGCAAGGGCCTCGCATTAAAACCCTAGTTACTTAAAAACCCTTTCCCCTGACAGACTCCGAATTTACCCTTCCCGCATGCCCGTTTTCCCCCAAATACCCAACCCACTACCCTTGGGTTTGTTAACCCTGTTTCCCCCTAACCCCATCCCCCCAAGGCCCCCCCCATCCAATTTCCCAACCCCCGTTTTAAACCCTTTTTTCACCCTATTTAAATCTCAATTTGGTTTTTCATACCAAAATCTGAAACACTTAACCCCCCTCCTTAACTTTCCCCCTTACCCTTAGCCCAAACAAATAGTATCATTTCCCCCATACCCAAAACCCATGCCCCCCCTTTTCACCCCCCCTTCCATATCGGGTTGTTCTTCACCCTTCAAAGAATATAAAAAGGAAATTTTGGCCCCAAAAAGCCCAAAAAAACAGCTTTTGGCATAGGACAGCCCGCCTCAACCTCTCTCCCCTTGGTTTTCCCTTTCACCCCAACCCCCCTTGACCCGTACCCTCAACCCCTTTCCCCCTTCCCTCAGAGTGTTACCCAACCCCACTTACCCCTCCCCAAAAACCCCCCAAACCCTCTTAAAACAAACCCCTAAGAAAACTTGTCCACGCAATCATATGGGTTTTTAACCCAATTTTAAACCTTGTATTTTCCCCCTCCCCTAACTCTCTAGAAAAACCCTTTAAACAAACCATGTCCATCCATCTCCCTTTTTCCCCGGAAATTTTCCCAAATGTCCCCCATGTAAAAACTAAACCCAACAATTTCCCCAAATTCTGTTTCCCAAAACCTTGCAATTAAAAATTTTGTAATCCGGCACATTTAAAGTAAAACCCCACGGATTTAAACATTTAAAATCGGTTTTCCCTTTTTTTTGGGCACTAAAAACCGTGAAATCCCCTTTTTTTGGGGATTTCCCCTCCCCCCCACTTTCTTAACAAAACAATCTAAAACCCCCCCCAGGCAATGCCTACACTCCCCCAAAGATACCATTAAAAAATTTGGGTTTTTTTTCCGTCTTGCCTGGGGTTAGAAAAAGATAAGATAAAGGGTTTCGTTTTGGATTTTTAACCCCGGAGGGGTTTGCCACCCAGGATAACCCAAAAAAGTCAGTGGGGTCATTTGAGGACTGGGCTAACTTATTTTTCCCTTGGGGTCCCCTTTAAACTTGGTTTCCCCCGGTTTCGGACCCCCCAAACCCGTCGTTAAAAACCCAGGGGACCTATTTGCTGCTAGGTGAACGGACAAAAGGTGTAAGGAAACGTGTCGAAAGGGTTTTCCCCCCGCCGGGAAACGGGAAACCCCCGGCCCCCCCGTGGGGTGAGGCCGGGGAGCTTTAGCCACCAGTGCCACCGGGCCACCCCTGGCACATCCCAAAAACTGCCTCCTCTACCTCCTCTACAGTAATACTACCCTCGATTCTGTCACTGTCCTACTCACTTAATACCTATTAAACCCTTCATCCCCAAACCGTCTCTCACCCACTCCCCGCCAACCCTCCTCCACTTCTCCCTAAACCAAAAATCTGCATACAAACTAATATTTTCCGTGGTGGATAGGCCTTGACCCTCCTCAAAGCCACCCCCCCCTGTACCTGCCTCAATATTACGCCAAGGTGGTCTTCGCCTGCCGTTCCTTAAACCTCCTTAATACAAAACCGATGGCCTATCCCCCCTTAAAACATCCTCCAACCCTGCCCTAACTCGAATTGCTCAAATTTTTCATTGTGAATTTCCGCCAACCTATTTCGCAAACGTTCCATGTCCTCACTCCGCCCCACCGTTCCTCTGCATAACAGTCATTTAACTGACCCTCAGATAATTTTGTAGGCCATAGCTCCACCTCGCCATCTCCTTACCCCGTACTTTAAAAAAATTTCGCGATTTCAACTTTAGCCCTCATTTCCACCAATCCAGCAAATCCATTTCCATATTCCTAGTC